TGATGATTGTTATTTCATTTTTTATTATTTACTTAAATAAGTACTTGATGATTGTTATTATTATTTACTTAATTCAGTAATTTTGAGTAAGTAATTATTTTATTTAGTCTGCATTATTTCATTTTTTTATTATTTATAATAGACATTTAGGGTATGCTCTTTATTTGATTTAAGAGACTTACCATGTTTTTATCTAGACAATGACCTCATACTAAGGGGCAACTATAGTATCATTTAATTTGAAATTTACTATTTAACAATAAAAAATAACAACCCACCCCCCAAAAAAATATCAATAACTTTGAAATCATTAATCTATTTATAAAATAGTAAACTTAGATGTATGTTTACAACAATATCACCAATACTACTTAATATTTAGGGACATATGAATGGATAAAAAACATTTTTATTCTCTTCATCATCAATCGAATCAYTGTTCGCGACCCAGGATTCTATTTTATCATCAATCCAATCACCRTTCACGTTTTTTCTTTTTCTTATCAATGAATAGATCTCTTTACTTGTACGACTTAGATGTCTCGTATTTCTCGAAAAAGTGATTCGATTGATGGGAATATCCATTCAAAGAGTTGCTAAGAAAAACAATCCATGCCAAACAACATTTGCATATGCATCCATCCTCTAAAGTAAGAGATGAAAAATATATGACTACAACCAAATCATCATCATGTATGGCTACAATCAATTGATAAATTGACCCTTATGTATTTATGTAATAATTATTATGAATTAATATAAATATTAAATGAATATATCCGAAATAATAATTATCATTATTAAAATCGTTATTAATTATCAGTCGAAATTAATAATTATCAATATTATCATTAATTAATTACCAGTAACTCAATAAGTAATTATCTGTAATTAATTATTATCATTAATTAATTATAAGTAATTATTATTAGTAATAATCAAATTTAAACCGGTTTAATGGTTAACATTAGTGGTAATAGTTAATTATCAATTAAATATTATTAATTAATAAGATTATTAATTATTAATTATTAATTTCCTTATTAATTTTGAGTAATTAATTATCAGAAATTAAAATTATATGATATGGGTTTAAATGCATTAAACCCGTGTTGAAACAAACCGGATCTGAATAATTATGTAAAACATGTAAACTGAATCGCTATAAACCGGGTCAACGCGACCCGACCCACTTAACCAATCAAGTCACCTTCTTAACCCGACCATAGCAGGCTGTCGCTCGATAGAGCGACGAATTGAAAACTTCAACAGGCGTCGACTGGGCACAGACGTGTGGTTTATCACCCATTTCAACCAAAAAAAACTAACTTAAACATGCGAAAATTGATGAAGAAAAATTAAAAAAATGAAGACAACGGTCACTACGAAACTCGACAACTGCTCAACCACCGCTGAGTGCGGTACTTGACCATCGGCGCCATAAACAACCTCGTATGACCTTCCTGGTCGCCGGCGAACTGATGTAAATGAACACAAGTGGTTTGAGTAAATCACGTTATCAAGGCTGTATCGGAAACCAAACTACACGCAGTGTTGGGTCAATATTTATTTTGCTGGAAACAGCTAGCCCGCCATGGTTGATTGGTGCCTGTCCCTAGATGGATCAGTAAATTCGCATTTTGGTACATGTGCCAAAACATAGTAAGCAATCAACACAACAAATAATGGGACCCAATTTAAAATATGGCCCTTCTGTCTTCTAAATCAACATAGCAAATAATTACAGACATCTATAATCACAGGATTCTTAACTGGATCATCTGGAAGGTTTAGTTAATACCTGAAAGGAAGGCTGAAAAGTGCAGTTTGATGCAGAATCAACGTCTAATGGAAGTTCACACTATAGACTGTAGAGGCTGTAAGAATCGGTACAGCTTTTGTATTAACTGTAGAAAAACTTAAATGTTCCAGAATAGAACAACATTGATTCAAGGGAGAAGGGAAGGTTCAGTTAATACCTGAAAGGTTGCAGGATGAAAAAGTGCAGTATGATGCAGATTCAACGTCCAATGAAAGGGCACACTGTAGACCGCAGAGGCTATAGAGGTACCGTCCAGGTTTTGAATTAACCGTAGAAAAATTGAAATATTTTAGAATAAAATAAAATTGACCCAACGGAGAATAGAAGGCTTAGTTAATATCAAAAAGGTTGCGGGCTGAAGAAAGTGCAATTTGATGCAGATTGAACCTCAAATGAAATTGAAGGCTGTTGTCCGCAGAGGATGTACAGAATCAGTCCACTTTTTTTTATTAACTGTAGAAAATTTTAAATGTTCCAGAATAGAAGAAGATTGATCCAAGGTAGAATGGAAGGTTTAGTTAATACCTGAAAGTATGCAGGCTGAAAAAGTGCAGTTTGAAGGTATAATGAAATTGAAGGTTGTAGACCGCAGAGGCTGTACAGAGAATGAAACATGTAAATGGGAAACATGTAAATACACGAAATAGAGGATGAAAAGAAAACAGAGATTGAGCATAATGTAAATACCAGATTGAATGTCTTATTTCTCTAAAATTGAAGTTTTGGGCAGATTGAACTCGAAAATTGAAAGCTAGCCTAGTGACCCATTAAGCTCTCTTCTTCTTACAATTTAGGATGGTGGCCTTCCAATTGAAATGAATGAGGGGTTTTGTTCTGCTGAAAAATAGGTATGTGACTTAAAACTGCCTCCTAGCTCATATATTGTATGGTCACATCTCTAATGGGAAACTAAATAAACTCTCTCCTGAGTTTTTTATGGACAGATGTCTGAATGGAGGAGGGCCACATGTTTAACTGGAGAGGCTTTGGCCGGATTTCATTACTTTAATATATATATATATATATATATTAGATACTCTTGGGTATTCAACTAATTGGATGAGTTCTCTCTCAACAATTCTAGAAGATGATACTACAAGGAGACAACAATCGTTTTTTCAACATCTCTTCTTTCTTTTCAGTTGTGCATCCACTCTTGATGAGAAATTTCTTATTTGTTATCTATCTTTGTTGATGATGCTTGTTATTTGAATTCAATATTTTTTTTATGTTTATATTTAATTGTAATTAGATAAAAAAATATTGTACCCCATTATTATTGTTGATAATAGAAGTTTTGGGCTTCAATTTCATGATTTTTTATCGTCACATTGAGAGGTTTTCCATATAAATCTTGGTATCTTCTATTATTGTTTGTTTTGTATTTGATTGTTTGACTTTATTATTGTATGCTTGCTAATTGTTGATAAGTCTCTTTCATTTGCACAACAAAAATATAGGGATATATTCTCAACATTGATAACATCATTATTGCCCATGGAATAGTACACTCCTTTCAAAAACAAAAGGTAGACATTGCAATTTTATGCTTAAACTAGAATTTTGAAAAGCATATGATAGAGTTGAGTGGGGCTTTGTGATGAAAACACTTCTTTGGATTTTGGTCATCAGTTTTGTAATATCATTTTCGTTTGTATATCTACCTTAAATCTGGAAATACAGGTAAATGGCTCTAGCTCTAGCTACCAGTATATATATATATATAGGGGATTGTGAAAGTGATGCTTTTTATCTCCTTATCTATTCATATGTTCACTCAAAGTCTAAAAAGAGAAATATTTGCTTGGTATTAGATTTGGAATGTCAGGCATCAAGTTGAATCACTTATTCTTTGTTGATGATATATTGATTCTTGATAAGTGCATTTTCATTGAAGTTGATTATATAAAACAATAGATTGTTGTCTTTAGTTAATGGTCGGGGCAAATTATAAATTACTAAAAATCAACCGTATTTTTTAGTAAAACACTCACAAGTGTCTTTGTCTTTGCATAGCTACTACGGTGGGGGTTCGTGCTATGAGTATGAAGGAAAGATATTTAGGTGGACCTTTATCAAAGATAAAATTGTTGTCTTAGGTAGGTTGGCTAGTGCTTATCAAATCTACGCTGGAAGCACTTCTAACGTATCTCATGCAAATCCATTTATTACTTAGATATATATATGTAATAAAATGGATGGAGTTTGACATGATTTTTGGTGGGGTAAGGCCCATAGAAAGCACAAGAGCTCACCTAACTTCTTGGAAATACCTCTTAAAGCCAAAAGAAGATGGTTGTCTGATGTTGAGAGATGTATTATATTTGATTGTATTTGGTTTGTTGGAGGTTGTAAGGTATATTTATAATATTGATAAATTATGGGGACATGTATGCATTTATGTGAGAAAAATGAGCTTATGTGTAATTTTGATGTAATTTGGCATTTTGCTTATTTAAATCAGTGGTTGTGTGGGATTAGAGTTGAGTGAGTGAGTGAATGAGAGAGAGAGAGAGAGAGAGTTGTATCTCTTGTTCTCATAATGGATATTTTTCCTCTCCTCCCATGGATGTAGGGTACCAAGTTGTACCAAATAAAATCTTGGTGTTCTTTCTAATTCTCACTACAAGAAAAATGACTTTTATCCCTAAAACTATCGCTAAAAGAACTGTCACTAGACATTCTAGCGGCAGTTTTCTCGGCTGCCGACGCTATTTTTAGCGGCAGTCATAACTTTGGCACGCTTTTGTTTTAGCAGCAGCCGTGGACTTCTTTAGCAGTAGTCTTTTTTTCATATAATTCATATCTTTTTTAACTTATTCTTGCTTTTCTTCAAATAACATGTTTTGTTTACATTCATCTAAATTAGAATGAAATACAAATGCAAATTAAAAGATCTATTTTCCACTCTCAAAATATTTTTCTACAAAAAAAACATTTGAATCACAAATTAATACATTCTCTAATACAAATTTCATCATCCATTCTCAAAACTCAAGACACTTGCAATTGGTTGACTCCTTTCAAAACCCATATTTATTTACATAATTCCTGCATATAAAGTTATCTAAAACAGCAAGAGGTCTTGCTTTATGTTCCTTGATTGACTCCTCTCTCAAATAGCCACTTGAGCTGCTGCTAGACATTGTTCACAATGTCTGTAAGATTGATGTCCACATGTCCCAATGATTCCTATATTACACAAAGAGGTAAATCAAGACCAAAAGATTGTGGAGTACATAAATTATAACATTAATGGATGATAATTTTACCTTTCCTCTGAAACCTAAGCATGCCCGCTTACCAATGACTTTAATATGGAGCTTCTAATTTAAAGGGGCTTGTTCTAGCATGAACTGGAATTCTTCATTCCAACATGGGTCCCGAGTTTTCCTCATCATCTATAGCAAACAATATTAGACACAAATGAGATGAAGAGAATACTTCAAAACACAATTTAATTAATTGCAATAAGAAAGATAATGTAATTTGAAAGCGCATTAACAAGATGATACCTGATGAGAATTCTAAACAGAAATGAACCATCAGAATCATCTCAAATTGAAACTTCCTAGTGAACACAGTTTATTTCATACATAGTTCGGAAGAAAGGGAAAATTCTAATCCAAGTTTTCTTCTACTCCCCTCCAAAATAGATAAGAGCGTAAGGGTTGTTGTGATGCTTTCCCTCAACATCCTCAGCCCCTTGGATGACAACTGAAAGTAACTCTGCCCCACTCAAGGCTTCATCTTCACGTACCATCTTAGACAAGGCTAATCTGACTAATCTAGTTGATAAGTCTAGAGGATTGAAGGATATAAGAATGCAACAATTTGGACTTGTTCAAACAACCCTTAATTTTCCAGCCTAGAGCTAGATCCTCTAGACAATAGACTTGAGTAAGCATTGTGGTTCTAGAGTAATGATGCCATGTAATTTCCTTATGCCTTGTACATGCATGTTCTCTTGTAGGGTTGTTTGATGGGTTGATGATATTGATATCAGATTATGCAGTTTGTTCTTGGAATGTCCTTTCAGCAAGTTGGCCAAAAATAATGGTTTTCCTTTGCTAGATGGAGATATCATATAAGATTTAGTTTGGGGTCTTTTCTAGTACTAAGGACAACCAATAAAGTCCTGTTTGGCTGCTGTAAGAGTAGATTCTATATGCTTTCTTATCCTTGTTAGAATCAATCGTAAATCCAAAGCCTAATGCAGCTCAAAATTTGATGAAAATTTGTTCTATTAGCCTAAAATTTTGATATGGGCAATCATTAACTGGTACCCAAAAGACTGCTGGGCCTTCTTATTGTCTCCTCAAGATCCTGGCTCTAGCTGGCAATAGGCCCCATGGATTGGTTGGAACTCACTTTGCGCTCAGCTCAAGTCAAGTTGACAGGCTTTTTGATCCAAATCCAATCAGAAATTCGGCTTTAGTACAAGTAAAACCTCAAATAAAAAGATGACAGCCCATGTTTCAGTCATCTATGGGTTAAGCTTGGTCTCTTTTTATCTTCATGAAGAAACAAGCCTCTCATGTCATGACTATAAGCTGGTTCAATGTTCAAATGCTATTAGATAAATAAAAATTTGTGAAGGAATCTCTATTCACAAAATATACGTACCAACTGAACTATTAGCAGTCATAGAGGCTGAACAACCTTGCATTCACAGAATAAATCTCCATCTATTTTGGGTGCTGACTTTTTAACCTGAAACAAATTAGCTCATTTGTCAGCTAATGCTTGGGATGATGTTGCCCTTTTGGTTGGATACAGAACTCAGATAATCTCTTCTACTGCTGGTGCTTGCCAACTCATGCTCTACCTAGTCAAGGAGTTTGAACATTCTCCTCTGAGCTAAGCAATTCATAATTCAGTAAGATATTGTTGTATTGTTGGAAGACCTATTGTCCACCCAAAAGGAACCATATTATCACACTGTAGATTATATACTTGATTTTTCCTAGATTAGATTCCAAATGAAAGGAATAATATGAATAGGTGTAAATCTTTTATCATGAGATACCAACTTCTAGCAATCAAAGGATTGATCACAGATAGGAGAAACTGGGAAAAAAATAAAGTTAAATGCAAAGACTTTAATCAGATAGAAACACCTCTATGGGAAAAATTTTAGCTTAACTTGACAATAGGTTGTTTACTAGGTCATTTGAGAAGTGATTGGATCTTTTGAAACAAATGGGTAAAAATTATATTGTTCTAGACTAGCTATCATTTTGAACATAGAGAAGATGAAAGGAATTCTTACTACATGATATTGAATAAAGGAATTCTACTCAATTATGCAATTAGATGAGCTTTAAGCTATTACTCACCATGTAGTGTAGGAGGAAAACTTCCACTCTCCACCTTTAGAAACTGGCAGAACATGATCAATTGTCAAGTTCTCACGTGAAGAACAATACTTGTTGACAAAAATGTCCTAATTTTGTAAACTATGCCAAAAGTAAGGTCCATGCAAGGGTAATGTCATTTACCATCATGTCTTCTAGATCATAGAAAAATGATCAAATAATCATAATTATTCACCATTTTGTTATGACCAATCTGAAATTTCTTTTTTATAGTAATGACCATCTGAAAATTAGTTATTTATGAATTGATTTCTGACCCCAGAGATTAACTCTGCACCCTATTTAGACACTTCCCAACTTCATAGAAAGGATGGGCTTAATAATAAGCTTTCAAAAAGTAATTGTTATGTGTATCAGAAGTAATAGAACAAGAACCTTGGAAATAGTCAGGGCAGGGCCCCACTGCTCCAATATGTTAAGATAAATACTGCCATTGCTGTTAATATTTGGGTGGAAAACCTTTGTCCTAAATGCAACCTGCATGGTCCATCCCACAATTACAGGCATGAGAGAGAGAGAGAATAAATTGATTGATATGCATCCCATGTTTGACCTTATTACCTCTTCTAGAAGAAAATCAAGTTTTGAAATAAAGGTAAGAGCATGGGAGTTAGGAATGCTATTTTTTACTTTCTTGAGGATTAGTAAACAAAATAATTGTAATCATCATCATTCATGCCTTATCCCAGCTATATGGGGTCGGGTACATTAATCCTATTTTGCCAATCCGCTCTATTTAAAGCCATTATCAACAAAGATCACCCCCAACATGTAAAACCACTATATATAGATGCACAACTAGGAAAGAAAGGAAGATACAAAGAACCTTCATACAAAGAACATCCCCAACATGTCACCATTTTCTCAGCCCTTTTCCACACAAAACCTTCTATTTAGAAATCTACCTGTAATCTCTGCTCCCTACATTTGAAACTAAGAAATTTTCAGCCTTTATCCCCTCCCCTGAGAAAAGAATCCACCTACTCTATCATTCGTCAAAAGTCTTTAAGACTCATTTAATTAAGCCAGTGCTGTAAAAAGGACAAGTCTTGCCTAGATTGGCTTGAGATAAAAAAAAAAAAAAAAAGAATTCTCAAGCTTGACTTAGGCCTACAATGAACCTATGTTGTGACTTCAGGCTATGATCACCAAGTATTTAGGGTGACATAAAAGGTTAAAGAATGCAATCTTCTAGTATGTGTTGACATAAAAGGTTTTAATTTTCCATTAAGCTTTCACAGGGGGGGGGGTCAAAATTTTGAGTTTTATGGTGGATGAGGCTCGTTTTGCTTATTGGGTTTTACTAAAGAAACTTCCAATTCTTGCAGGTGGTTGAAATAGGACAAGGGAGTAAGGTGAAATATGAACTGGACTAGAAAACTGACATGATCAAGGTAACCAAGGAACCCATTGTTTGGCATATTTCTTAGTTGACATTCCATTCATGTTCATAAAGGGTTTCATTTGCAGGTCGATCATGTACTTTATTCATCAGTTGTATATCCCCATAACTATGGTTTCATTCCATGTACACTCTTGAGGACAATGATCCAATGGATGTTTTGATCCTCATGCAAGTATATGCAAGCGTCTATGTTGAATTCCTGCTCACAATAGTATGTTTGAATGATAGTAATACAATAAGATTCGGATGTCGAATTCTTGCACAAGTATGTAGGAATTGCTTGCTATCAAGTTTTCTAAGTTTAGAAAACTCAAGAAATGTTAAAACTTCTTCTTGAGCAATAAGATTTGGATCTGAATCTCAATTCAACTCAATTAAGCATTTTCTAGACTGCATGAAGCTACATGAATCTTGTTTTTTTTTTTTTTTTATGAATTCTACATGAATCTTGTTTTACCATTCACTCTCAATGCCATATCCATCGAAGATTTAGATCTTGTTTTCAGGGAGCCTAACACCTAAATGTGAGAAGGGAGGGGGAGAACCATGGTCCAGAACATGGTTCAGACCTATGGGTGGCTCAGAACTGTGGGTCAGAACATGGTTCAGACCTGTGAGTGGCTCAGAACTGTGGGTCAGGTCCATGGTTCAGAACTATGGGCCAGACCCATGGTTCAAACAATGAGCCAATCCATAGTTTAGACCCATGTAATGTTTAATTTTAGACAATTGATCCAATATATCCAAACAGTAAGCTTTCACCAACAAACCCATGGATGCCAAATGATGCATTTAAAGATTTTATTAACCAGTTCTGCCCCATTAAGCACAAAACAATTTAATATTTTGATCAATGCACAAAACAATTTAATTAGGTATATTTTTTTTATGTTTTTTCCTTTAACAAAAACAGCAATAGTTCACAAATATGGCAAAGTGGGATCCTTGGGAAAGTTGCATGCATATCAGAATTAATGCCGAAAAAGGTCCTATAGAAGAAGGAAATTCAATTTGATTAAATTAAAAGTTAATGTTGTTAACTCTTCTTCATAACTATAATGTTAATATGAGCTAGACAATCTATCAATTAGGCTATTAATGACCAAAAATTACTAAAGAATAAAATAAGCTCATTTATAGTTATGTGGTTGAAACATAGAGTTAAATCAAGAAAATACAATCAGGTCCCTTTTTGGTTCAGCACCTAATACAGTTTTCAAAAGATTGCTTTTGCATGTGCATGGAGTGTCTTCATATCTTAACTCTTAAGTTAGCTATTTGGAGATAAGGCAACAACCTAATGGCTACAAAAAGATAACCATATTTTATAAAAAGACAACAAAATGCATTTAAAGGTCCTCACTTGCCATAAAATGTTGCCTAGTGAAGTGCAGCCCAACCATTCACATCATAGAAATTGATACTAACACCCGCAGCTACTATTGGTTCTATGGCCCAATCATAACCAAGAGCAGCTGCTAAATGCAGCACACCTTACCCTCCCTTATCTAATACACTAGAACCTTTTTCATCTTCAATTACCTTGTAAAGAAGCCATGCATGCAACTTCTCTTTCAGTAACTTTTGCAATAACTGGTCCTTTATTTGATCTAGAGAAAACTCCTCTAAGGTAAGCTTCACCATATGGAGCCATTCATAACCATCTTCCTTCATTAACAAACTGATTTTATTGCTTATATGAGCTTTCTCACAAACATTTCTGGTGAGAGTAGTTGGGTGACTGGAACATCCCATAGATCAACTTGGGTTCGGCTTGCCCAGTTTTCAGCACTTTCTTTGTGAGATCACAAGGAAAAAATTCCTACTATAGTGTACTTCATCTGAAATTCTGAATTAGGGAACAAAGCACACTACTTTAAAACTAAGACAAACCTGCTAGGACACTCAAGTATAGAATCTAATTCTCAATACAACTCTAAATACCTAATAATAATCCTATTAAATCTAAACAAATTCCAAAATAATCTAAAAAAGACTTAAGTCCACTCACAATCACTCTGACATTGAAATCCGGTTTTACAATGAGAACCTATACATAGCTACCACTTCAAGTTCTCATGGTTGTCTCTGTACTCAACATGGGATATATATTTTACTATATTTCTTCCTTTTATTCTGATTAATTTGTTTTCCATGTACTGTTTAGGTTGAGTCTGGGAAGAGTACAAATACAAATCTGTATAGTGCAAAACCTTTTCTGTTTTATATACTCTTTAGCTGAAGTAAGTCCATGCTCCATTGCAGCCTGTAAATTCTTAAATGGTTGTTCTTTAGGAGACATTTTCTTTCTTTGCTTTCTATCCAAGGGATAAAACTCAAAATCATGCTTCAAATCTCATGAACAAGACCCCATACTAAGATAGAGGAACATAACAAACCCAAAAATGATGACATTTCTGGAAATCTAGTTTACAAATGTTCCAACTCCAAAATGTTTTAGGTATATAATACAAGGAACTACAATTGCCCCTTAAAATAAAGAACTCCAATTCTACATGAACTATTATTATTGAAATATGGAGATCACCTCAAATTTAACACTTGAAGAAAATAAAACTGTGAAAGAAGATCATTGTTAGGGTTGTGATTCAAATTCACTAGACCTGTTACATCATTAAATGTGATTACTACCAATGTATGTTTTATACCTACTATTGACTTAACTATCATCAAGAAAATTTTCAAATATATTAACTAGAAAGAAACAATATAAACAAACAAAAGGATCTAAACCTACAAAAGTTAAGAAATCACTAAAATTCAGTTGAATAAGTTCTAGAAGCATGTACAATGAACACTAAGAGGGAAAGAGAGAGTCTCACATGTTAATGTCGATATTTGGTTGTTTATTTGGTGCTGAGAAAGTCAAGATCGAGGTCACCCTTTGGTTGTCGTCCATTTGTGAGAAAATCCAGACCGAGGTTGTTCTCTGGTTGCAAGAAAGTCAAGATTGAGATTGCCCTTTGGTTCCCATTCGATTGTGAGAAGATTTGACCGATATCATTCTCCGATTGTGAGAAAGGAGAGAGAGAGAGAGATGTTTAGGGATTTACGCGGGGGAGGAGAAAAGGAAATTTGATGCCAACCTTATAGCGGTAGTCAACAATGTTTTTAGCGGCAGTTTTAAGTGACTACCGCTATATATTAGTATTATTAGCAGCAACTGACCTATATCCACTTCTTGAATTGCCACTGGAGGTGTATTCTTTTGTAGCGTCTTCTTCTTATTTTCTCCTTGATTTGCTATTTTGTTTTATGTTACTTGACATAGTATGAAAGCTATTTTATGTTGTTTAACATGGTATTGGAGCATGTTGCTCTATAATCTATGTTTGCTCCATGTTCACTCACAAATCTCTTGAGGGCTACTGATTTTTGGGTACAGGTCTAGTAGGGTTTCCTTTCATAGTTGATCTATCTAGGGTTTCTTTTTGGAAGGTTGATACTCACTACTACAAGGGATCAAACCAGTTTTACCTTTCTTTCTCGGTGATTAGTGGCGGTTTTTGACCATCACATGACTATTGTGTTAGGTGAACAATGAGGTGTGTATCCCTCTAATGGATCAAATCCATGAGGGAATGTTGTGATTGAAATATTTCTAGGTTAGTGATCAATGTTGTGAAGAGTTTAATAGTGGTATGATAAGTGATTTTGTGATCTATGAAGGTCTTCTAGTTGCTACCATTTCAAGTTCAGTTGAGGTAGTAGTCAATTACTAACCTCAATGTATTGTGAGTTGGAAAAGAGGCATTGATGCCTCAAGTTGTGGTTGTTTGTGAGTTGGAAAAAGAGGTATTGATGCCTCAAGTTGTGGCTGTTTGTGAATTGGTAGTGTTTTGTGAGTTGGAAAAGAGGCTTTTGATTCCTCAAGTTGTAGATGTTTGTGAGTTGGTGATGGTTTGTGGTGTGGTGATAACTTTGTTGGTGAGTGTGTGAAGCCTCCGGTGGTATTCAAAAACGGTGTAGTGATGTGATAGTTTGTGGTGCAATGGTGGATTGATGGTGAATGTGTGAAGCTCCCTTGGTGTTCACGAAAAGTGTAGTGATGTGATAATTTGTCGTGTATTGGTGAACTGTTAGTTCAGAGGTCCCTTCAACATCTCAAGGTTCATGGTTGCTGCTTCAATAGTAAACCTATTTCCATGGAGGTTACTTCAATATCGTTAATTGCAACTCAAGCTAGTTTTTCCACCTTGAGTTTAAGGGGGCGTGTTAAGAGATATAATGTATTTGGGCTGTTGGAGGTTATAGGGTATATTTGTAATATTGATAAATTATAGGGACCTTTATGTATTTATGGGAGAAAAGGGATTTATGTGTAATTGTGATATAATTCAGTCTTTTTCTTATTTAAGCGGGTAGTTGTGTGGGATTAGGGTTGAGTGTGTGTGTGTGAGAGAGAGAGAGAGAGAGAGAGTTATATCTCTTGTTCTCATAATGGATATTCTTCCCTTCCTCTCGTGGATGTAGGCTACCAAGTCGAAGCAGTCAAATCTTGGTGTTATCTCTAATTCTTCTTCTTATTTTCTCCTTGATTTGCTGTTCAGTTTTATGTTGCTTGACATCTAAATACTTATGGTGGGGTGGTCTAGTGGTCAAAATACTTATGTTTAAATTAAGCAACTTGGGTTCAAATCCCTTTAGTAACATAATAGTTCTTTATAAAAAAAAAAGGATGGTGGTCTTGGCTTGATAGTTGTAAAACTTCAGAATATAGCATTGATTGCTAAACTTAGTTGGAGATTTCTTACTAATATTGGGTTGAAGTTCTGAACACTAAATATTTTCATGGTGCGAATTCCGTGTTCATTTATTCGGTCAAGCATGTTGAAAAGTAAAGAGCTTTTAAGGAAGGGTGCCTCAATGGGCTTATTAGTAATGGCTGGTTAATGTATTTCTATCAAGACCCATGGTGTGCAAATGGTTTTTTTCTTAGGGTGTATTTGTTTAAGGTTTAAATGTAAGCTGGGATAAATTTTACACTCTGGTTCAATTTTGCTAACATTTGGATGATATGTTATTTTATATCGTAAACGAGTGTAAAACTCCATTTAGGTAAGTTTTACATCGAAGTTACCACCAATAAAATTGATGTAAAACTCTTATCTTCTCAAAACTCAATGTACGCTCTCTCTCTCTCCCCTTCATATTCTTCTTCCTCCCCGATTTCACCCTCCTCTTTTCTACCTACCACTACAACTTCTGGCAGTARCGGTTCTCCCCCCTTTTCTGATCAGGTACTATTTCTTTTTGATATCTCACTTGCATCGGCATTCCACCGTAGAGCAGAGAATCTAAGTTTCCAATGATGAAGACTTCACCATCAGCGTTGCAGATCTATGTACTGTGTTAAACCGCGCAGATTTGCAAGATGAGCATTGCAGCTCAATCATATTTGAACAAAACATTACCTTCTTTGCTCAGCCTCCACACCGCAAGATTATACACTAGTGTAAGAAGTTTCCATCTATTACTTGATTCCTTCACCCAGGTTGGTACCAAACGACAACAAACCAGAGCTCACACCTCTTCTAAGTGCTGCAATGGTCAACTGGRTTCAACCAGCATTTCCATCATCTCAGAGCGCAGAAGATCAATGTTGTCGTTCATGGCGCAGGGCAACTGGGTTCCCATTCAAGTTTTCTTGACCTCTCCAACGTTGGAACTTGAGTCCAGGAGTTTCGTTGCATCTTCATTACAAAGACAACAACTATAGTCGCAGTGTGGGTGGAGAGGACGTTTGGATGCAGAGCCCTCTTTGGATCTCTGCCAGAGGTCAGAGGAAGAGGATGTTTTAGAGCAGAAACAGAAGCCACTGAGGAGAATTTGAGAGTAGGGAGAGTTCCATAGAGCAAAAACTAGGTTTGATGGAAGGAAGAGTTTCAGAGCAGAAAGAGAGTAGGAAGCTTCACTTTTACATCGTGACAACCAAACGTCATCAGCGTAAAAATTCAAATCCATTCGATTTCATTTTCCATCCATCACTGAACCGGCACCACTTTTTTCGTCAGTATAAAAGTGAATTTACACTTCAAACAAATGCAACATAATCAGTGATTATGTGAATTCTACCATTGCGAATGTGAAGGTTGCACAATTTATTGATCAACATTCCAAGCAGTGAAATATGGTTTCTCTTCTTCAATTGCCTGGGAGGGATGCTAATTTATCATATGAGTTGTGTTGGACATAAATGTCTCATTGTAGGCACTCATCTTCATGAGGTGTTAAAGTGCTCATAGCGTCAATGGTTGGAAGTTCAAGTGATTCTATCATGTTTGGCAACCTTACACGGAAGCAGTTCTAGTCCACAAAGACCTCTCTTTCTCTAAAACTTTTCATTCGAAGATGTTTAAAGAATTTGTTACCTACACACATGATCATTTGGCACAGTTCATACCTAGCTGGATACCACCTGTCCAATTTGTTCTAATAGCTCAATTTGGAAGGGGAGTACAAATACAAATATGTAGAGTGCAAATACTTTACATATTTGTATTTTGTATTTGTACTCCTTCCAAACTGAGCTAATGGAGAAGAGTCACTGCTGCACCTTGTCACTGATTTATTGATATGAAAGCTATTCTTTTTGGCTCCATGTTGAACTTTCACTTTGAGGGCCTCCACTTTCAAGATCTAGGTGAGTTGTTTTTGACTTGGTGGACTATTGATAAATTAAATAATGATGAAAATAGGGGATTATTCTTTTAGGGATTCATTTACATTTGTCACTTATTGTTCAACTTTTGTTGGTGGAGTCTTTCGAACCATTGTGGCGCATTAGTACACCTATTGCAGATTTTAGAAGTTTACTTCGACACTTTCCCTTTGTCTCGGTTAAAGCAATCCGTCGTACGACTAATGTAGCTGTGCACTGTCTAACTAAAATGGCTACTTCCCTTTGTAGAACCTATACATGGTCCGTGTGCCCAAATTTTYTTATATCCATTGTGGATAATGATGTATTGAATTGTGGTTTGCCCCCAAAAAACTTATGGTTGGCGCTCAATGATCTCCTTTTTAATGATACTAGTAGAATGGCATCGCACAGGATATTTGAACCATACCACAACTAAATATAGATCTTAACTAAGTTGGGTGTGGTCACTTGTTTGATTCTTCACTTGTGTTAGTGTCAATCTATTTGATTGTCATAAAATAAAATCATACTTCAATTACTTTATCCTAATTGAGTGTGAGTGGTATAATGCTAAAGAAAACAAAACTGACTTAAAACATGATTAAGGATTCCATTTGACATATAATGTAATGTGTGTGTATATAAGTACACAAAAAGCTTTATATTGCAATATTAGTACAATCGCTTAGAGGGCTATGGAACCAACCATAATGCTTCGTGCTAGTCATAAATTAAAACCCAAGGACTGATCCTAGTTGAAACGGTGTAACATAGATTTAATTCAATTAAAGAGACTAGCAGTAGGGGGTTTGCTCTCAACTTTCTAGTGTAGGATGTTAAAACCAAACCTAGAGGATGCCAAAAGCAAACCAGTACGAGGGTTTTGCTCTTAGCTTGCAAGTGCAAGATGTTGAAAGCAAACAACTTGGATCTTTATATAGAACAAACACTAAGTTTTGRTATTTTTATGGTGTCTTCGCTAATGGTTAAGAGAATTAGGTGTGTGAGAACTTACAAGTTACAAAACACTAGAAAATGCTTAGAAATTACAAATACAAACTTGATTTGGGCAAATGTAAGCCTGTTAAAGACACATGATTAAACACTAAGTTAATCCCAAAGATGAAAAGTGCTTGAAACTTATAAATCAAAACTTATTAAACCAAAACCCTCAAATTAATTAAATAGAAATAATTATCAAAGAAACTCAATTTTAAACTAAAGCATGATGTGAAATCAAAACTCCTATTGCATTTTCATAACATAAAAGAGTGAAAGAAATAATAGAACTTTGCAATTGTGATAAACATGATATTGAGTATGATTTTGCCATATGTTGTTGTTGAATTTTCTTGAGATGAAAGGCAAAAGACTAAATATGATAAAAAATGAAGAACAAAAACACTTGGAACTCCATTACTTCCAAGTATCTAAAAACATACATTATTTTTGTTCACATATTTTCCAATCAATCACCTAGAGGTGTAAAATCGGGCCATGCTGGGCCAACATGGCACAACCTACATGTGGCTTGTGCAAAGTGCAGGTCGGGCCAGGCCACAAACCGGGCCAAGTCATGTTTTTTTTTAATTTAAAAAAATAATGAAAATTTTAACATAAATTTAAAAATATATACAAAAATTAAAAAACATCTTAAAATTTTATTTTATATGAATTTTGATGTATACAATTGTTTATATATAATAATATAATAAAATTATATATATATTAATATATTATATAATATATATATACATATTATATATTATATATAAAATATATATATGGGTCGTACTAGGCTGTGCCCATGCCATCATGCGGGTTACAGGCGGCATGGCTCACTCGATCGTGCCAGGCTGACTCAAAATCATGTTGAACCATGGCCGCGGGTGACACGGCCCGATTTATACCTCTACAATTACCCCTTATGATCAATTTGGAAGGAATACAAATACAAATATGTACAGTACAAATACATACAAAATAATACAAATTACAAGGTTTTACACTCTACATATATTTGTATTTGTACTCCTTCCAAATGGAGCCTTATTGTTGGTTTTTAAGAAAATAAATTAATAAACATAGTTACAGGAGCAAAGCATATATATGGTATAATAAATAATGAGGATAATTTTGGAAATAAAAATCAGAGTTTCCAACAAAAACTAATGAACTTTTAAACAATGGAAAAACAAATAGAAATAATGGTGAGGGGTAATTTTGGAAATTAAAATTAGGAGTTTTGACGACTAGGACGATTACCATTCCCATTTTTATTAATTGTTAATAGGGGTAATTTTGGAAATTAAATTAGAAGTTTTGACGAATGGGACGATTATAATTCCCAATTTTATTAATGGTCAATAGGGGTAATTTTGGAAATTAAAATCAGGAGTTTTGACGAATGGGACGATTACCATTCCCATTTTTATTAATGGTCAATAGATTTCCTTTAGGCTGCATTTGGGAACGATGCAAACAAGTGTGAATGAAAATATGTAGAGTGTAAAACGGTTCACGTAAATTGTAAAATTGGGTTAGTTTTGCACTGACAAATTTACCTTCTTACCAAACAGCCTTTTAGCTATAATGGACGACGCAAACATGAATTCCAATAAAGATTATGTTTTTTTTTTTATCAAAAGCCCTCTTGAATGCAAATTTACTTCTTTTTTATTGATGTACTTTTACATCTTATTATCAATGTAAATATGCATTGATCTGTCATTTGTCAATGCATAAATGTATGTTGCCAAACACAGGCAAAAGTGAACCATAGCGCAAATTTACCCTAAACTGGGATTTACACTCCATTTGCATCATTTCCAAACATAGCCTTAATCTCCTTAGTGTTATTTCTAAAGCTAATGCCTCCATCGAGTATTTACTAGATCCTAAAAGTATTTGTAAGGAGACAACATCTACAATAACTATAGAGAGAATTACAGCTTGGAGTAGACTTGTTCATAGGCCGGGCTTCGGGCCTGATTTTGCATTATGTTGGGCTCGGGCTTTGGGTCAAGCCCATTCTAATTTTAGCAAAAGCCAAGCCTAAGCCTGACCCATGGACAATTTTAGTGGAGAGAGTTAAAATTAATTTTGATGCTTTAGTCACCTCTGCCTCTACAACTATTCAATTAATTGCACATGATCACAATGGGGAGTTCCTCTTTGCCAGATCATCTCATATTCCACTTTGCTCTATTCTTAAATCTAAAGCTTAAGCTTTTTTTTGAAGGTCTTCTTTTTGTTGAAGAGCTACATCTTTCACTAGTCATAGTTGAAGGTAGGTGTTAGAACCCGATTTTACGGGTAGATGTTTTGAGAGGTCCTGCATCTAATGGTTGTGTCTAATCTAACAGTTGATGTGTAAGTGAGGGTCGATCGAGGCCATCAAATAGATATCAGGCATGTTTTAACAGTGGATCTGAGGGCTCTCGAGGTGAAATTCAGCTTTATTGGGTTTTTGGGTGTTAAGAAAGGATCAGAAGGGTCTGATCGGGAATTTGGGGTGAATTGGGGTTTAGGTGGCGGATCGAGCAAAAATCGGGTGCTGACAGTAGGGGTGCTCACAGTTCGATTAATTGAACAATGGGGTATTTTTTTGAAATCAAATCAGTACTACTGATTTTGAAAAATCCTTGAATTGAAATTGAACTAAATCAACTGATTAATTTGTTGATTGGTTTTAGTTTTTTATTGCTTTGATTCTTTGATTTCTTGGTTTTTATATTTATAGTATATTATAAATATATATATATATATAGTATATAATATATTATACATTATAGAATAGATTATTATAAGTATATAATTATAAATATAATATTTATATATAATGCACACACACACACACATTGGCCGGTTTGGTTAAACATCAGTCTTTTAGGTTTATTGAAAACCAAAACGATCCTTCGATTTTTCAAAAATACCGAATTAATCGATTCAATTAACCAAAATTTTTTGTTCGATTTTCTCGATTTGGATCAGTTTTTTGGTTTTTTATGAACACTCCTAATTGAAGGTGATGCTTAGTCAATGTTTTCAAACCATCGTTGACCCTGACGATCTGACCGTTTAGCCTGGGAACTGTCCAGGCAACCAGTTTTGTTTTACCCCAACCTGGTCCCTAGCAAAAAATCGTTGAATTGGTCAGTGACTTGCTGACTCAGGTGGTCAAACCATCGACCCATTCAATAGCTTTTTACTGTTTTTTATTTTAATTATTATTTTTTATTTTTTTATTGGAATGGGTCGTCTATTCAAACTGGATGGTCGAACTATTGATCGATGGCCAAAGCGGTTCCAGTTTCAAGTCAATTTTTAAAACCTTGTGCTCAATATATTGTTAAGCTTCTTTTTGGCATATTACATTGATCCATTGTGACAGCTTTGAATCACTATGGTTTGGCAAGTCTTTTTTGAAAGATCTTCTGAAAGATAGTTTGCACTTTACATAAAGAACTTGGTAGCCCACAGACTGTTTGGTTGGAGGTGTCTTTCCGTGCGAAGACGAGACTTGAGTAGACGAAAAAAAATGTAAGGCTGCAATTTGGGCTGGGTTGGCCCGGATCCAACCCAAAAAAGTCAGGTTGTTGCTCGAATTAGGGTTAGGGTTGAAATTCATAAACGTGCCTTTATTTTAGGTTGGGTTAGGGTTGACCCCTTGGGCAACCCGACCCAACTCAAACCCGATTCTATAGTATGTCATATGCTCTATATTATATATCATACATTGATTTGTTTAGATGTATTGATAGTTATATAGCCCTCACAACATGCTATCATGTCTTTCTTTTAAAATAATCACTTCACTTAATCCCAAATGAAAAAACTAGAACCTTAATAACATATTTTATTCTTCACCTCCTCTCTAATGTTTGCCGCCCATAAAAGATCTACCATAAGTCATAACTCATAATAAACTATAGTCATTTCAAATACTTATTTTTTCGAATTTTGTACTAAAAGAACCAATAAAAACATCAACAAACAAATACTAGTAAAACATAGGATTAATAGTGAAAATTGAGTTAAGATTTGAGATTAAATAGTTTTATAAGATTTTAAGTGATGGGAAGAAGGTTGGGTTGAGCCCAACCCAACCCAAAGTTTGGATTGGGTTAGGGTTGAATGAATTTAATTAGGGTTAGGGTTAGGGTTGCGTGGATCAAGTTGAAGGTTGGGTTGGGGGTTTAAAACTTAGGTTTGGGCTAGGGTTAGCCTCAACCCAACCTAACCTTATAAAAAACTGACAACCTGCATGAAAAAAGATGCCGAATGGAGCTTTACATTGTAAGGGACTTCCCACGGAGTTTTTTGTTATATTTATTCCACTTCCCACCGAGTTCTTATTGTCCTCCTATAATCCAAATTCGATTCAAACCCGCTAGATATCCAAGAGGGATACGATCCAATTTGAATTCAAATATAAAATGTCAGTGATCTTCATTGGAATTCAAATATAAATGAATCAAATTTGTATTTATGTATATCGGATCATCCGATCCGTTTACTACAAAATTGCGTCGCATATCTTCCTCTTCGAATTTCTCTCCGAAATTCAACGGTTAAAAATTAGGGCTGCAAGTCGGGCTGGGTTTGGTCGGGTTGAGGCCAACCCTAACTCAACCTTAAGTTCTAAACCCCAACCTTAACCCTAACCCAACCCAACCCGAAGTCAATTTTGGGTTGGGTTGAGCTCGGGTTGGGCCCAACCCAACATTCTTCTCATCTCTTAAAACCTCATAGAATTTATCGATTTTAGATCTTAACTCAACTTTCACTACATATATTAATCCTATATTTCATTAGTATTTATTTGTTGATATATTTTTTTTGTTCTTTTCATACAAAATTCAGAAAAAACAAGTGTTAGAAATGACTATAGTTTATTATGAGTTATGACTTACGATAGATCTTTTTTCGGCGGCAAACAACATAGAGGAGATGAAGAATAAAATTTTCAAAAAAACATAAAATAATGTTATTAAGGTTTTAGTCTTTCTTATTAGGATTAAGTGAAATGATTATCTTAAAAAAATACATGATACTATGTGATGGGGGCTATACAAATATCATGCATCTAAACAAATCAATGTACATTATATATTACATATAATTTATATTTATATATTACATGTACTATAGAGTCGGGTTCGGGTTGGCTAAGGGGTCAATCCTAACCCAACCCAAAGTAAAATCGGATTCATGAATTTCAACCCTAACTCTAACCCGAATTTCAACCCGACCCAACCCAATCCAACTTTTTTCGGGTTGGGTTAGGGTTGGGTTCGGGACAACCCGGCCCAAGTTGCAGCCTTGTTCAAAATGGATGCAATGTATCCGATTCGAATCCTATATCTTTCGTGTTGAGAGATGTATAATCTGCCTACTCATTGTCTACTCTTTCGCCGTTGGATTAGTGTCCGAAGGGTATAAATGTTGAGGCTGTTAATTAGATTTCAATCTGACGTTAGCAACGGGCACACGTGGGTCTACCTACCGAACCAATATGCTCTTTATCTGAACTCTTCTTCCACGCAAGCACCAGCTCATGTATAGCCTCCAACAAGATAGTACTTATCGTCGTCAAATCTCTCCTCCCGTATATCAGCGCTCAGCGGAGTGCGGAGAGAGCTCGAACTGGAAAAAATGGCGCTAATGACTTCCATAATTCGTCGAAGAATCCGATTAAATTCGCTGGGGCAGTACCATATACTGTCGCAGAGAAAAACGTTGGCCTCCTCATCGGAGAATAAGAAGCCATGCATAGAGAAAATTCTAATCGCCAACAGAGGAGAAATCGCTTGTAGAATTATGAAAACTGCCAAGAGATTGGGGATTCGAACTGTAGCAGTTTACAGCGATGCAGATAAAGAAAGCCTTCATGTAAAATCTGCGGATGAAGCTATTCGAATTGGGCCGCCTCCGGCTCGATTGAGCTATTTGAATGCTTCGGCGATCATTGAAGCTGCAACTCGTACTGGTGCACAAGTAATATATTTGACGTTTCCCTAACTAAGATTTGCTTTATTCTTTTCTTCTGATTGTGCCTGCCAGTTTCATATAGCATTATCTTTATATTAGTTTTTGTCACTGTTAAAATAATCACAATTGCGAGACATGAAGAATTTTGTTTCATATTTGCAATTACAAGGAGACTTATTAAAACACATTTATACCTAACTTGGCACTCAAAAGAAAAATCATACACATTGACGAACGCCCCTTAGTGTAGGTAGTTTCTTTAATAATGATTTTGCATACATTCATCAATTCATCCGTTCTAAAATTATTGTGTTGAGCACATGGAAGACATAGACTAATCTCGACTCGCCTGTTCAAGGATTCCAACTCCCACTTAGTGGGTTCCTGGTAAGGTTCAACTTGTAGAATGACTTATACTGTGCAATCAATCAAGGATTCATGGTGGGACGTGAAGGACCGAGTAGATGCAGAGGTGAACGGCTGAGATCTTGTATATCAAACCTGCATACAAAGAGAGAATAAGAGTAGCTGCACAATACAGGATCCGGGACACCTATCTCTCAAACAAAATGCAAGAGAGAACTGTCAAATCTGGATGGAGCCGAAATTTGGAGGTTGCTTTACCTTCTAAGTTATCTTTGATTTTGCACAATACAGGATCCGGGACACCTATCTTTCCCCAACGTTCCCTTCCTTGTTTTGAGGAGGGAGCGTAACCGACTTGAACGTTTGGAGGGAAGACCAAGTCAAGACCTCTCTAGATTGAGACAAATGTTTCATACTGACTAAGGATCTATCCACATGGCCATCCAGTTTAGACTGGATCAAATGGATTTCCATTGACCCAATAAGAGCTGGAATTTGGATCTAGAATAATCCAGCAATATTGGTATCTCCACGCATAAAAACATTTTCAAATAAACAATCAAATAAATTTATTTTTTTATAGAAAATAAATAAATAAGTAATAATTTAAAATGAATGATTATGTGTGAGAGTGTTGCATGGAGATAACCATAAAATCATCTTCCATCAACATGTGGCTTATCACATGGCCATTGGATATTCCAACATGTTGAGGATTAAACGAGGGCCTATGGCCACTCTACCATCATTTCCCACTTGGCCAGTTAGGCCCGAGATGAATAAGTGCCAACCAACCCCATTGCTTTAACGTGCCTTACATAATTTGTAATTGCAATGGGTTTAGTCAAAGGGTCGACAATCATATCTTTTGTAGGCACATATTCTACCAGGATCTCATTCCATTGGTAGACATCATATAAATACCGGTAATGGAGATCTATGTGTTTCCCTTTAGGGCCGATCTCACCATTTTTAATTGTCTTAATAACAGCTTGATTGTCATTGAAAATCTTTACAGCTCCTATTGGCACATTAGGAATTCGGAGTTCTTCTAAGAATCTGCTAATCCAAACTACTTCAGATACCGCGGAGCTACAAGAGATAAACTTAGCTTCCATGGTGAATTTAGCTACACAGCTTTGTTTCTTGCTTTTCCATGAGACAGCACCTCCTCCTAAGAGGAATAAGTACCCGGTTGTGGATTTTCTATCATCCGGGTCACCTGCAAAATCAGCATCACAATAACCCAGTAACTCTAAATCATTTGCATGATAGGTTAATTTGAAGTATTTTGTTAACTGCAAATATCTAAATATTCTTTTAATAGACTTCCAGTGTGTTTTACCTGGGTTACTTTGGTATCTACTAACAAGACCTACAACATATGAGATATCTGGTCTTGTGCAAAGCATGGCATACATCAAGCTACCAATAGCTTGAGCATAGGGTCTATACTTCATTTTCTCTATTTCTTCATCATTAGTGGGAGCCATATCCCTACTTAATTTGGTTCTTTTACAAATTGGAGTTTCAACTCCATTACAATCTTTCATAATAAATTTCTTTAGAATTTTCTTTAAGTAATGCTCTTGTGAAAGAGTTAAGGTTTTAGAGTTCATATCTCTTTCTATTTTAATTTCAAGTACATAACTAGCATCACCCATGTCTTTCATTTCAAAGTTGGTTTTTAACCAACCTTTAGTTTCATTAATCATAGACACATCATTTCCAGCAATAAGAATATCATCTACATATAATGAAAGAACAACAAAACTGCTCCCACTATTCAAAGAATAAACACAATGGTCAAACGGATTAGGTATAAATCCAAGTTTAGAGATTGCTTCATGGAAGGTATGGTACCACATCCTAAAGGACTGTTTTAAACCATACAATGATTTTTTTAATTTATACACTTTATTTTATTGTCCCTCTATTACATAACTTTTGGGTTGAGTCATGTGTATTTCTTCATTCAGTTTACAATGAGGAAAGTAGTTTTAACATCTAATTGGCACAACTCTAAGTCCAAAAAGGCAACTAAGGACATTAGGATTCTAATAGAGGTAAACTTGGCAACTGGAGAGTAAGTCTCTTCATAATCAATCCCTTCTACTTGGGTGTACCCTTTTTGCTACTAATCTTGCCTTATATTTTTCTATAGACCCATCAACATTGAGTTTTCTCTTTAATATCCATTTACACTCTATAGGTTTCCTATTCTTGGGTAAATCAACTAATTCCCAAACCTGATTTTTATTTATTAAGTCTAACTCTTCTTCTATGGCTTCACACCACTTTTCTTTATCAGGTGCATCCATAGTATCTTCAAAGTCAATTGGATCATCAAGAGACTTTTCATTCAAGTAGGTATAATAATCTTTTAATCTTGATGAAGGGAATCTTTCTCTTTGAATTCTACCTAAGGTGTCATTATTAGATGAAACCTGTCTATCAGGTGCAGTCTCAACTTCTATAATTTCTTTATTTATTTCAAATAAGTTGGGTAATTGTTTATTATCCTCAACTTGATCTTCTAGAAAAACAACATCCCTGCTTTCTATTAATTCAACTGTTTCATCAGATTTATGATTAACAAATCTATACCCTTTGCTATTATCACTATACCCTATAAAGGTACACCTTAGACTCTTGTTATCTAACTTGCTTCTTTACTGCTTTGGCACTCTTACATAAGCACTAGCCTCCCAAATTTTAATGTCAGTCAGGTCTGGTTTTCTAGCAGTCCACATTTCATGGGGCATTAAGCTATTAACTTTAGTTGGAACCTTATTTAGAATATGTTGTCAGTTGTTTATGTATTCAGATTTAGTACCATAAGGGTATTGTTGTAATTTCTCCTCTGTTCATATTGTTCGACTGTACTAGTATAAATAATAAAATCATTCTTTCGCCCCCTAAGTTCTGGAGGGCTTTCAGTCACTCAACTCATCTCTTTTCTCTCTTCTCCCCTCCTCTCTTCACTTGCTCTTGCTCAACATGGTATCAGAGCTGGTCGTCCAGGCCTGAAGGGTGGTGTCAAGCTAACTACTGTTGCATCCAGTGCTGTCTCCAATCGAACTCCTGATCTGGTGAAGTCAGTTCAACCCAGAAGTTACAGAGTCTTTTCGTCTTCTAGCCCAGAAATTGCTCATCTTCTGTTCGGCTGCCTATTGTTTGAGGATTCGTAGAAGGAGCTTTGGTTTACCATAAGGGAGACTATCATCTGAAACTAAATGAGGTACTATCATCCTTGTCTGTTCGGATGCCTATTGTTTGCTGAACTGTTTGATGACTGTTCGGCTACCCTACTGTTGTCTGTTCGACTGATGAACTGTTTGATGCCTACTGTTTGATGCCTATTGTTTGTGGACTATCATCCTTGTTTGTTCGGATACCCATTGTTTGCTGAACTGTTCGGCTACCCTACTGTTAGGCGACTGTATTCCTTAACACAGTAACTGTATTCAAACTTTTTTGTTGTTGGTATTATGGACTGTTGATGGTCTGTTTTAGCCGACTGATTGTCTACTCAACATCAATCTTATTAAGCCCTACTAAGTAGGTCATTCAGACCTGTTCTTGTACTGCAACAGCAGTGTGCAGACTTGTTTCAGTGAAGCCGTAGGTCAGAAGGACCTGTTTCAGTACTGCAACAGCAGTGTTCAGTTTGTTATTTGTTCT